AGAAAACATTGTACTAATATCTGTGGTCCTAGACATGTTCAGCCTGTACAAGCAAATATCAGTAACATTGTCATTGGGGCACTAACACAACAGCCTGGTTTTGAACAAGGTAAACAACAGAAAAAGCCTGGTTCCAGAATGGCTGAGAGGATGGAGGAAACTCCCCATATATAGTTGCAAAATATAAAACTGGTCACAAATTTTTGCTTTTTTGTAATTCGACTGTTAGTTATCACTAATATGTTCTAGTAGGTGCAACTATAAAAATGTGAATGATCAGAAATCTGTCCAATATGCTGTTTATTTATCATTACACATCTAGCAATATACTGCCATTGCACACTTTTCATCATATCTAGTATGCGTACTGTTTATACTAGATTTATCCTCCTCCATTCAGATTTTTGCATTGCAGTTACCAAAACATCTTTACAAAGATAATTCAATTAATGGCTCCCATTATCATGTACCTTGGCACTTAGTGCTTTCTACTGCATCTTTTTACCACCAATCTTCTCTTTTAGTGTTAGATTCTCATAACATTTATGTATTCTCCCACTTAGTTCAAAGAACTCCTATACATTTGCTTAACATTGATCAAAATATCTCTTCTTCCCCATGGCCTGGTGGCAAAAGCTCTCGTTTAAAATGGGAGGGTCCGGGTTCGATTCCAGTGCGATAGGGGGTGGGGGAACATCGAGATGTGTTTCCTTATACCGGTTGTCAATGTTCACCCATCACTAATATGGGTACTTGGGTGTTAGTTTGACTGGTGTGGGTTGCATCCTGGGACAAAGCTGACATAATTTGCCTGTCATTGATGTCTGCTAGCCCTGTATTACCTTGAACATGTACTGTAGTAAATAAGGATATTATATTATTATTATTACATGCCTATCAGCTCCAGGTGCTCAAACACTTATTACCCAATTTCCACATCCGCTATGATTCCAGTACATTAAATTAAATATAAATGTTTTTATTCCCTCCTTTATCCTTTCTTTCCACATTGTTTAATGTTACCACCAAGCCTTCAAAATCTTTTGCTTTCTCTGACACACCTACTAAATCCAATTTATCATCTTCCACAGACAGACTCGGGACAGTTTTATGTGCATTTGTAGTCAACTATGCATGTTCAAACAGCCCAGTGTCAAATTTCAATTTAATATAGTAATTTGTTTAGAAAAAGAGTAACCTGGTTTCACCCTTTTAGTTGCCTTCTATAACTTGATCTATGCAAAACTCAATGCCCTTTTAACAAAGCCCTAAGATCATGGAACTCAATGCTTAATCATCAAAAGGTCCCGGTCTGCCCAATCTATTCAGAGCTATTGTTAAAAAGCACCTCATCTCCCTAAAGTTACTGAAGACAGCAATCACTTGTCAAACAAATAGCTCAATCCAACTCTTCTCTGTTCTTCAAGCTTCCTCAACTCCCTATAGATTGATTACCCATACTTGTCCCATTATAGTTTTTTTTTTTTGTTTGTAACTAAGTACTTTACTGCATCTTCTCCAATCTCTATTCAGTCACTCCACAAAAGAAGAGATCACTGATTCAGGTTTGAAATAATTAGTATACTTTTAAAAATTGTACCATTTTGTTCATTAGCTACCTTCTTATGTTGCATATAATTGTAGTTAACTGTGTAAGTAAATCCCTATTAGTCTGTTTGTCAAATCTTAATAGTTTTTAAGTTTTAGTATTTTGCCCCAAAATGCATTGCTACTAGTGGTTTCTTTTGTTGCCTTAGTGTTAACTACATGTAAATACATTATCTCTGCATTATATAAAAAGAGATAAAAATCTGAATTTAAATTTTTTGAAAGGTTTCTAACCCTCTTCCCTATGGTGATGACTGTGCTGATATATAAATACGTACTTATAACAGATTACAAATACAGTTCAATGTCGCTTGAAATTTGTTTAATGGTACTAGTAATATTAAGCATGAATTTAATAATTAAATACAAACAGCTTTCACTGTTATAAGTTTGGAAGAAATAAGAACGTTAATAGCAATTATTGTCAGTATTTAATTTACAGTGAGTTAAAAGGTTAAATTCATTTAAATTATTAAAATTATACAGCCTTTGTTCTTTTCTGTAATCTTATGCAAAGTTAGGATTCTTTAATTGTGTAGTTTTTACACAGTCGTAGACCACTCGTAGAATATCAAAGAAGAGTAGATGGAGCGAGAATAAGTTTAGAACAGTGGTGAAATAGGTTAGTTGGTGATAACAGGAACATTAATACAATGAAGAAGAGTACCGAGAGTACTAGAGAAAGATCACAACAGACATGTGGTTGCATATTCAGTATTACAGCAATGTTACAATGGTACCCGACTTACGATATTAATTTGTTCCAGAGGCTGTTCAGGTGCCCGTTTTACCTACGAATTTGCTCCCATAAGGGAATATTGTAAATTAGATTTGTCGTATCAGACCCCAAAAATGCTTTGCAAAGCACTTACAAAAATTACCCACTTTACGTAATTGTATTAGAGTTGGGAGCTGGATCGTTAAGTTGGGGGTTCCACTGTAATTCTAAAATAATAGGTATAATAGGATCACCAATGGCTTTGAAGGGGGTGGGAACCTGATGGAAACCAAATTAATATGGATAAGAAAATGAAAGACATGAATATTTTCGTATTTATATACACACATAATATTGTAAATATTATGGACAAGGATTTCAGTTTGTAGACAATTACTATATAATGAGCATTGTATGTAAATACAAATGATATAATTTGCAATCATCCGTTTATATAAACAGTAATATACAAAAATTATTACAGTGGAAACCTTCAGTTTTTTCGTCAATGTATTGTCCCAGTTTTTGTTCATCATGGTTTTCATTTGCCGTACCGAACGTGTCAGTGTGCCTGTGCCCACACATAGCATCCCATGCACGCATTCGGAGTCGGTGGGGGACTGGAGATCTCTCTATCTATGTTTGTTTCTCGATGCAATTATTAATGGGTGCACGCGCGGAACATTTCCCTGCTCATCCTCCACCACCCTCCCCCCCATACCAAAACATTTCCTAATAATTCAATTGTTTTTTGTGCTTGTTTACTGAATGTGATGCTAAATAAGCCACCAGGGGCCAAGAGGGGGGGAAAGAAAAGGTTATGAGTGCCAGCCCTTTGATGATGAAGGCGAGAAACACAATAGAATTCAATGGTGGTAGAGGGTGTAGTGGTTGTGGTGTGGTGGTAGAGGGTGGTAGGTGGTTTTGTGGTAGTGATGGTAGAGAGGGTGTATAGTAGTGGTACAATAGAGGGTGGTTAGTGATTGTGGTAGAGGGTGTGGTAGTGATTGTGGTAGAGGGTGGTAGTGATTGTGTGTAGAGGGTGGTAGTGATTGTGGTAGAGGGTGGTAGTGATTGTGGTAGAGGGTGGAAGTGATTGTTGGTAATGATGGTGGTAGAGATAACCTCTCCCTCTTTGCCATATTTTTTTTTTTTTCCATACACCAACAAGAGTCTTCAAATAAGTAAAAGTGATATTTAAAATGTTTCATTTGTCTATTTCATTAGTGTTTTATATTTATTTCTCAGTTGGTTTTTCTGTATGTAAAATTTTAGTTTTTCTCTATAAATATAGTTTTTGCTTATATTTTTGGGTGTCTGGAAACGATTATTTGTATTTACATTATTTCTATGGGGAAATTATTGCTTCAGTTTTCATCGAATTAGGTTTTTCGTCAGACTCTGGAATGAATTTAAAAGACGAAAAACCAAGGTTCCACTGTATTTCATGCTTTAGAGATTAATCTATGAATGAGAAGAAGAATGAAGTCTTGTTGAGCTTCTGTATTGGCTTGTCGTTATCATTTTAGTAGGGTTTTGGACTGTGCCCTTTTTCAGTGCCTTTTGTAATTTATGATTTTGTTTTTCATTATGTATAGGCTGTACAGTATGAAAAGTCAGCTGGTTTTAATGGGAATGGCCACTAACCGTATTTTTATATTTGCAGGCAATGGAATTGGTTGTGTGAAAATCATCCAGCGGTTCCTAGCGGAATTGCCAGAGACACTCCGTTTATTGAGGCCTGTGGAACTGGTAAGCTTATAATCAGGGAAGCTCAAAAGGTTAGCTTTCAACATCATGTCAATAAACAACTATTTATATGTAAGTTACTGTAAAAATAATAAAGATATACATATAGTACTGTATACTGCACATTATATTAACTTGCTAAAGAATGCTTAACTGAAGAACTTGTATTAGTTAAAAAAAAAAAATCTAATTATGGAGTTGACAATCAAGCATGGCTTTGGTATTCTGCTTTTATGGAGAGTGACATATAAAAACACATAATTCCAAATTACTGAATATTTTTTTCACAAAAAATTCCTGTTGTCAACTGGGGGAGTGGCCACAAAAAGTACCACCTAGGTAGCCAAGAATAAACTCTCGTTGTTATATTTTAAGAACTGTTTGTAACTTACAATCATGTTTTTCTTTTCACTTGAGCACTTAACTTATTTCGAGAGCTTGCTGATGTATAGTTTCAAGACCTTGATTGTCAGGGTTATTATGAGGCGGCGAATATAATTTAACAGTACACAGTAATTTAACACCTGACTATGGGAATAATAAATGTCTATATAACTGAGAAATACACCTCTTGATGTATATCCTGTATTAGTGCTTGTAAGAATTTCACGTGGCATATAGCAGAAGTTGAACCCGTGGATGATGCTTATAAAGTCACTCAAACGTTGCTTTTTGTCTAAATATTTTTTTTAACTAGCAATATTTGATATACCACATTGTGTGGTATATCAAACAAGAACAGATTACTTATTACAGCCATCAGGTATAAATAATAAGTAGCCTTTTAATTCATTAAAAAGGGGGAAAAGGGTTAGAGATATAAAATAAAAAAGTTTTGGGAAAAAAAATGTGAGGGATTTCAGGGAGAATTGTGATTTGGTGGGGAGGAAACTAGGGGAATGTGGGGAGGTTGTTGAGCAACTCCACGACCTCTGGCAACTCAGTTGGCTCTAACATGGCTGTGTAAGGTGAACGATGCTCGTGCTCACGGATATACTGGTGATTTGCCCTCTCAGGGAAGGCTAATAATGTCGAGACTTGCGGATTATTTTGCCATCGTTGGATACGACCACACAAAAGATCGTAAGGCCGAGATTTTGAGGTGGGAGAGGGTGGGTTTGGTAGTGTAGGGGAGGGCTGGGCCGCGGCTGCCAAGGGTAAGGAGTGGGTGGAGGAGCTGTCATCTGGCCCACTCTGGGTCATGCTTACCTTCCACGCCCACACTACCCACAGTGTGGGTGTGGGGGTGGGAGTATGGCCTTGTGGTGGGAATACGTTTATGGGACTGAATGGTCACACTGCTTGTCTGACCTTACCTTAATCCTGCTATAAATTATACACAACAATTACCTTTTTTAATCAGGGGGAAGCACTAAGCCCGAAGGAGTCATGTAGTGTTTGGGGAGTGGGGGCATTCAGGCTCAGTCCAAGGAAGGAGTATAGGTCCAGTTTCTTGGATGAAGAGCCCCTCACTAACATCAAGGCACATCAGGTATAGTTGTTCTCCCCTATTAAAATTAAAAACAAAACTACAATTTCAAATTTGATGAGTGGAACTGACCAACACTAAATTTTAGGATTCACATGTAAACCATCTATGTGAAGCAAAAACCTAGAAGGAAAACCTAAATTTTTTTATATTAGCTAGCAATCAACACAAGAACTTGTAAATGAGGCTGGTACTTGCTGTGCAGTTTGGCAAAAAATGAATAGCAACATGTATTTAGGGTACAGTATAACTTAGTTGTAAAGGTACATAATATGCTGTGATTATCACTTTTTCTCATGAATGTACTGTTAGCATAATTTTGAATTCAGCATTGAGTATGGATGTACAATAGCTGTGTTTTGGGCTCTGGTGCACATAGTTACGTTGGCTAGTTATTTTATTCAGTTATGCCATAAAGTATGCAAAGGTTCATAAAGTTAATTTGCATTTCAACTTGGATAATTTCAAATTGCATAATTAGTGTATTCTTTATTTACAAAAGTGATTGGATATCCCTAGAATATCCTTACACTACATCAGAAGGATTCATATCTAAGTAAACCTTCCTGAAACTACTCAAGACGGCAAGGGTTATACCAATACATAAAGGTGGTGACCCTACAGATTTAAACAACTATAGGCCAATATCAAACTTACCATTGCTATCCAAAATCTTTGAGAAACTCGTGCACAGGAGACTATATTCATTTATAACAGCACAAAACATACTCAACCCCTGCCAATTTGGATTCAGGAGAAATAAAAGCACTAATGATGCAATCATAAAAATGCTAGATCTGCTTTACACAGCATTGGAAAATAAGGAATATCCACTAGGAATTTTTATTGACCTAAGAAAAGCTTTTGACACAGTAGACCACGGCATCCTACTCCACAAACTTGACCATTATGGTATAAGAGGCCATGCGCTTGCATATTTCAAATCTTACCTTACTAATAGGTATCAGTATGTCACCATTAAAGACACAGCATCAACAACACAGCCACTTGATACTGGAGTTCCGCAGGGAAGTGTCCTTGGTCCCCTGCTCTTCCTCATATACATCAATGATCTTCCAAACGTATCTCAACACCTGAACCCCATTCTCTTTGCTGACGACACGACTTATGTCATCTCTCACCCTAATCTTGCCACCCTCAACACCATTGTTAATGAGGAGCTGATCAAAATATCGACTTGGATGACAGCCAATAAACTTACGCTTAACACTGACAAAACCTACTACATTATGTTTGGTAGCAGAGCAGGAGATGCACAAATTAACATTAAGATCAACAACACTGTAATTGCCAGGCATAATGAGGGCAAATTCCTAGGCCTATACCTCGACAACAACCTGAACTTCAGCACCCATATCCAACACATAACCAAAAAAGTATCCAAAACGGTTGGGATCCTCTCCAAGATACAATACTACGTGCCGCAAACTGCCCTTCTCACACTATACCATTCACTTATGTATCCATACCTCACCTATGCTATATGTGCTTGGGGTTCCACTGCAGCAACACACCTAAAGCCAATAATAACCCAACAAAAACCCGCAGTAAGAATAATCACTAAATCCCATCCCTAGCAACACACCCCCCCACTCTTCATAGATCTAAACTTACTCCCTGTTCAGTACATCCACACTTACTACTGTGCAATCTACATCTACAGGACCTTAAATTCCAATATTAACCTTGACCTAAAACGCTTTCTTGATAGTTGCGACAGAACCCACAGGCACAATACCAGACACAAACATCTCTATGACATTCCCCGTGTCCGACTAAACCTTTACAAAAATTCAATGTATGTCAAAGGCCCTAAAATCTGGAACACCCTACCTGAAAATTCTAAAACTGCAGACACATTCATCACCTTCAAAACTACCATCAGAAAACATCTTATCTCCCTGATACACCCTGTCAACTAATTACACGAATACCACCTGGTGGTTAACACTTACACTCACTCACCCATTTGACCATAAACAGAAATATCAATCTCAATCTCAAAATAATGAATCTTAACTAGTCATAAGTTGGCCTGTGATACTCCAATACTGAAACTATGTATAGTGCCAAAACAAAAGCATTCACATTGCTAAACTCACAAACTAGTATTTAGTCACTTAGCCATAATACCAACTTACCTCATAATTTTGTAATATTTTAAACTTAAGATTTAATTTAAGTCTGCCCGAAATGCCTAGCCATGCTAGGTGTTCTAGTGGTACACTCTGTAATTATTATTTTACTACATGTAAACAATACAATAACCAAATTCTGTAAACTCAGCATTGTAATCCTTATAGAGAATAAACTTTGAATTTGAATTCATTTGCACTAGGGAAACTGCATCTGGTGTATTTTTCAAGGTACCTTGAAAATGTATGTCTTCAACCTAGGAGTAATTTTTGATTGGTGTTTGAAGAATACCAGTGATATACGTCATAAGTCTCCAGTATTGTTCCACAATAAAAGAACAATATTTTACACAGATAGATTATTGATATAGGGCAGAAACTAAAATAGTTCTATGAGATGGCAGCACAAAAAGAACAAAAATCTGTTCAAGAAATAGCAAAAAATCCTAAATATTTCCACAAGTATGCAAAAACCAAGTATAAAGTCAGTGACTAATGGGTTCATGCACCAGTGATGAGAGATACATGATAATAAATAGTATATGGAAGATATCTGAGGATTTAGTCTCAAATCTACACAAAGCCATAAAGTACTGGAGTGAAGGATATGGGAGGAACTGTAAAATAAAACCCAGTGAAGAGCAGGGGTACCATAGACACAATAAGAAAACATTGTACTAATATCTGTGGTCCTAGACAGTTCAGCCTGCTACCAGCAAATATCAGTAACATTGTCAATGGGCCACTAACAGCAACAGCCTGGTTGAACAAGTAATCAACAGAAAAGCCTGGTTCCAGACTGGCTGAGAGGATGGAAACTCCCCCATAACTAGTTGCAAATATAAACTGGTCACAAATGTACTTTTAGTTATCACTAAATATGTCATAGTAGGTGCAACTATAAAAATGTGAATGATCAGAAATCTGTCCAATAGCTGTTTATTTATCAATACACAGTCTAGCAATATACTGCCATTGCACACTTCATCATATCTAGTATGGTACAGTATACTACTTATTTATCCTCCTTCAGATTTATGCATTGCCAGTTACCAAACCTCTTTACAAAGATAATTCAATTAATGGCTCCCATTATCATGTACCTTGGCACTTCGTGCTTTCCTACTGCATCTTTTACCACAATCTTTACTCTTTAGTGTTAAGATTTCTCATAACATTTACAGTATTCTCCCACTTAGTTCAAAACTCCTATACATTTGCTTAACATTGATCAAAATATCTCTTCCTTCCCCATGGCCTGGTGGCAAAAGCTCTCGTTTCACATGGTGAGGGTCCGGGTTCGATTCCAGGCGAAGGGGTGGGAACATCGGATGTGTTTCCTTATACCGGTTGTCAATGTTCACCCATCACTAAAATGGGTACTTGGGTGTTAGTTGACTGGTGTGGGTTGCATCCTGGGACAAAGCTGACCTAATTTGCCTGTCATTGATGTCAGCTAGCCCTGTATACCTTGCACATGTACTTGTAGTAAATAAGGATATTATATTATTATTATTACATGCCTCTCAGCTCCAGGTGCTCAAACACTTATTACCCAATTTCCACATCCCGCTTTGATTCCAATACATATAATTAAATATAAATGTTTATATCCCTCCTTTCCTCCTTTCTTTCCACATTGTTTAATGTTACCACCAATCCTTCAAAATCTTTTGCTTTCTCTGACACACCTAACTAAATCCAATTTACTCCTTCCCAGACAGACTCGGACAGTTTTATGTGCATTTGTAGTCAACTATGCATGTTCAAACAGCCCAGTGTCAAAATTTCAATTTTAATAATAGTAATTTGTTTAGAAAAAGAGTACCCTGGTCTCACCATTTTAGTTGCCTTCTATAACTTGATCTATGCAAAAACTCAATGCACTTAAAAAGCCCTAAGATCTGGAACTCAATGCTTGAATCATCAAAAGGTCCCCTGTCTGCCAATCTATTCAGAGCTATTGTTAAAAAGCACCTCATCTCCCTAATGTTACTGAAGCAGCAATACACTGTCAAACAAAACTAGCTCATCCAACTCTATCTCTGTTCTTCCAGCCTTCCTCCAACTCCCATATAGAATTGATTACCCATCTTGTCCCATTATAGTTTTTTTGTAACTAAGTAACTTACTGCATCTTCACCAATCTCTATTCAGTCACTCCACAAAACTGAAGATCACTGAATTGGTTTGAAATAATAGTCATACTTTTAAAATTGTACCATTTTGTTCATTAGCTACCTTCTTATTGTGCATATAATTGTAGTTAACTGTGTAAGAAATCCTACTTAGTCTGTGTCAAATCTTAAATAGTTTTTAAGTTTTAGTATTTTGCCCAAAATGCATTGCATACTAGTGGCTTTCTTTTGTGCCTTAGTGTTTTACTACATGTAAACTACATTATCTCTGCATTATATAAAAAGAGATAAAAATCTGAATTTAAATTTTTTGAAAGGTTTCTAACCCTCTTCCCTATGGTGATGATAATATATAAATACGTACTTATAACAGATTACAAATACAGTACAAGTCGCTTGAAATTTGTTAATGGTACTAGTAATATTAAGCATGAATTTAATAATTAAATACAAACAGCTTCACTGTTATAAGTTTGGATGAAATAAGAACAGTAATAGCAATATATTGTACAGTACTTAATTTACAGGGAGTTAAAAGGTTAAATTCATTTAAATTTATATAAAATTATACAGCCTTTGTTCTTTTCTGTAAATCTTATGCAAATGTTAGGATTCTTTATTTGTGTAGTTTTTACACAGTCGTAGACCACTCGTAGAATATCAAAAGAAGAGTAGAATGGAGAGAAAAGTTTAGAACAGTGTGAAATAGGTTAGTTGGTGATAACAGGAACATTAATACAATGAAGAAGAGTACCGAGTACAGAAAGATCACAACAGACATGTGGTGCATATTCAGTATTACAGCAATGTACAATGGACCCCCGACTTACGATATTAATTTGTTCCAGAAGGCTGTTCAGGTGCCGTTACCATACGAATTTGCTCCCATAAGGAATATTGTAAATTAGATTAGTCCGTATCAGACCCCCAAAAATGCTTACAAAAGCACTTACAAAAATACACTTACGTAATTGTTCGAGTTGGGAGCTGATCGTAAGTTGGGGGTTCACTGTATTTCTAAATAATAGGTATAATAGGATCCACAAGGCTTTGAAGGGGGTAACCTGATTGCAACCAATTAATATGGATAAGAAACATGAAAGCATGAATATTTTTCAGTATTTATATACACACATATATTGTAAATACTTATGGACAAGGATTGCAGTTTGTAGACAAATTACTCTTATATGATCATTGTAATTGTAAATACAAATGATATAATTTGCAATCATCCAGTTTATATAAACAGTAATATACAAAATATCTACAGTGGAACCTCAGTTTTTCGTCAAAATATTGTCCCAGTTTTTGTTCATCATGGTTTTCATTTGCCGTACCGAACGTGTCAGTTTGCCTGTGCCCACACAAAGCATCCCATGCACGCATTCTGAGTCGGTCTGGCTTTGTTTCTCATCAAGTGAACATTACCCTGCTCATTCATACAAAACATTTCCTAATAATTCATTGTTTTTTGTGCTTGTTTACTGAATGTGACTGCTAAATAAGCCACCATGGGGCCAAAGAAAGTTCTGAGTGCCAGCCCTTTGATGAAGAAGGCGAGAAACACAATAGAATTCAATGGTGGTAGAGGGTGGTAGTGGTTGTGGTGGTGGTGGTAGAGGGTGGTAGTGGTTGTGGTAGTGATGGTAGTAGAGGGTGGTAGTAGTGGTAGAGGGTGGTAGTGATTGTGGTAGAGGGTGGTAGTGATTGTGGTAGAGGGTGGTAGTGATTGTGGTAGAGGGTGGTAGTGATTGTGGTAGAGGGTGGTAGTGATTGTGGTAGAGGGTGGTAGTGATTGTGGTAATGATGGTGGTAGAGATAACCTCTCCCCTCTTTGCCATCTTCCATACACCAACAAGAGTCTTCAATAAAGTAAAAGTGATTTAAATGTTCATTTGTCTATTTCATTAGTGCTTTATATTTATTTCTCATTGTTTTCTGTATGTAAAATTTTAGTTATTCTCTATAAAATATATTTTTTGTTAATATTTTTGGGTGTCTGGAACAGATTAATTGTATTTACATTATTTCTTATGGGAAATATTGCTTCAGTTTTCATCGAATTCGGTTTTCGTCAGACTCTGGAATGAATTAAAGACGAAAACCAAGGTTCCACTGTATTTCATGCTTTAGAGATTAATCTTATGAAATGAGAATGAATGAAGTCTTGTTGAGGCTCTGTATTGGCTTGTGTTAACATTTTGTAGGGCTTTTGACTGTGCCTTTTTCAGTGCCTTTGTAATTATGATTTCTGTTTTTCATACTGTATAGGCTGTACAGTATGAAAAGTCAGCTGTTAATGGGAATGCCACTAACGTATTTTATATTTGCAGGCAATGGAATTGGTTGTGGAAAAATCATCCAGCGGTTCCCTGAGCGGAATTGGCCAGACACTCCGTTTATTGAGGCCCTGGAACTGGTAAGCTTATAATCAGGGAAGCTCAAAGGTTAGCTTTCAACATACATGTCAATAAACAACTATTTATATGTAGTACTGTAAAAAAAAAAAAGATATACATATAGTACAGTACTGCACATTAAATTAACTGCTAACAGAAAAGCTTAACTGAAGAACTTGAATTAGTTAAAAAAAAAAAAATCTTAATTATGAGTCTGACAATCAAGCATGGCTTTGGTATTCTGCTTTTCATGGAAGTGACATATAAAACACCATAATTACCAAATATACTGAACTATTTTTTCACAAAAATTCCTGTTGTCCAATGGGGTGGCCACAAAAAGTACCCACCTAGGTAACCCTGTTAAAGCATGACCTATCCTGATCTATTTTCCTAATGCTATCACAGGTAGGCAGGGCATATCAATGCTATCCTGTCCATGGTTGTTGCCCACTTATAACTAATGTGATTTAAAAAATCTTAAGATCCACTCACATGTAGACACTTGGTTAATGTTTTTTAATGATGTTGACTAGCTAATGTAGACTTTCATATAACAGTACTTTCTTATGCACATTTTTTATTTTGTTTTTATTACTGTCCTTAAAATATGGTGTACTTGTATCTAATAGGTTTTATACTGTACTACAGCACATTTATTTTCCACGTTCTTACCATACCAGTGTTGACGTATTCTTGGGTTGTATATATGTACTGTAGATAGATGTTTTAGTTGAAATCAACAAAGTTTTTTTACTTAAAAAACTTAAGAGGTATTTTTGGGCCACAGTAAGCTGTGGATAACTGAAATCATGGATATTGAATCAGTTGATATGGGAGTTCTACTATACACATATACAGTGGACCCCCGGTTAACGATATTTTTTCATTCCAGAAGTATGTTCAGGTGCCAGTACTGACCGAATTTGCTCCCATAAGGAATATTGTGAAGTAGATTAGTCCATTTCAGACCCCCAAACATACACGTACAAACGCACTTACATAAATACACTTACATAATTGTCGCATTGGGAGGTGATCGTTAAGCGGGTGTCCACTGTAATGGAATATGTTTAGGGTGCTGAATAACTGAAAGGTTCTAGTGCTGTGTAAAAGAAGTAGAACAACAACAACATGTAATGCTGATGGTCTGTGGAACAATTTGTACAATTAGAAAGAGGTGAAAATAAGAGCTTGTGAAATGAGTAATCCTTATGACCTGAAAAGAATAACAAGGTCAATGAAGGTAAATGAAAGGGATCTCTTACACATCTAGAAGCATTGCTGAGAAGTAGGCTGTAGAGCAGGTGGTGATGCCTTTTTGGCAGGTGTATAGTGTAAAATAAAGCGGATGCACATTAGAATACCCGAAAATTTCAGTATAACCATCATCTCGCAATTCTGTATTGACATCAGCACAAGAACCACCACCACTCACCTTGGTCTGGTAGGGCAACACTAAACTTTTTCAGGCATTTTGAGATAAGTACCACCAACCAGAATTTACAGGACAAAATAGTTTTTTGTGTATAAGCATTTTACCTACGTATATGGTTATTTTATTAATGTACACGTGTGACATCCAACCACAGCATTAAGGTATGGAAAGCTTTATTACTGTATTTTTAATTAATTACAAAACTCAAGACAAATTTGTTTGACTCCTTTCAGAGGTTACAAGAATGTAATCTTGTTTTCCACCTACTCTTTAGTTAACATGATTTCAGTTAAAGTACAAGGGTTCAGGGACATAACTTATGTTAATTAAAACTCTAGTGTATAAAAATACCTAGCAAAATGGTATGGACTTTATCAGAATCACTAGCAAACAATTGATGCAGTAATTTTACTTGCCACCTCACCATTTGTCATCCCTACAACCACTGATAACAGTTGCAGTGTACTTAACATTAGCCCACAATGCTATCTAGAAAACAAAATAAGGGCAGTGGTAAGAAGTTTTTTTTATGGTAGAATATCAGATGTGCATAGTTTTACTGCAAGCATTACTCAAGCTTTTACTCTCTTCTTTATATAATGTTTGTAATATAAAGTACTATGCCATATTGAGTATGTGTTACATTAATTTCAAACCTGTTCAACACAGTTCTGTCAACCACAAGGGTGGACACTCTCAACTGATCGTCAGGAGCCCAAATTTTTTGTCTCCGTGCTGACAGACATAGACGCTAATCGACACTACTGTGCTGTTCTCTCTTTTAATGAAGCTGTTTCCATCACCCCAAGTAAACCTACTGACGAGGTAAGCATGCAGGTTACCTAGTTTACAGATTTAGTAAAAGTACAGCATGTGATCTCCCTGTGATGGTCTTTTGTCTATAACTACTCACAGACCCCTCGTGTTTGATGCTTTCAGTATTTTTAAAATTCTACATGTGGCCAGTTGGTCCTTACCTACATTAAATTCCATTATTTGTCAATTCCTCTTGTTTATTAGTCTGCAGCAGTTATCAGCAATGATTATTATTTTGTATAGGATTTGTGTGTCATCAGTAAACATTTAAAAAAAAAAAAAGTCTATACAGGGGGACCTCGGCTTACAAATTTAATCCGTTCCATGACCTTGTTCGTATCCTGATTTGTTCATATGCTGAGTCAGTTTTCCTCATTTAAATTAATTGAAATGTAATTAACCCATTCCAGCCTCTCAGGAGGCATGACAAAATATTGCTAATGTCAACTCTACAGCTTAGTTATCTATCACAATTCATCTAATATGACATAATATACAATATTAACAACATAGAAACATAATATATACTCTAGAATGAATAAAGTAGGCCATAATATGGTAAGTGATGGCGATGCTGGCAACGACAGAAAGCATCCGCCGTTTACTCTCCCACTCTAGTATCTTACCAGTCCATAACCCCACACCTAGCTTGTGTTTATCTATGATTAGTAGTGAGGTTGTTACATATATAACCACAGGTGTGGTCAAGACAGATGTATATATAGGTAAAGGCCTCACTCTATGCTGTGGCCTTCTTCATTTCTCTAGCTCTTTTCATTGTTTCTAATTGCTTCTTGCTGATTGTACATGAATACTGTCTCTTTGGGTGAGGCATTGTGTAAGAAATTTCTACATTACAAGACAAAATTAGCATCCCAGGGGTCTGGTGCGGTCACTCAGAGCAGCATACCTCCTCTTCCTTTTAACCCATGGTTGGCACCGAGATAGCAGTAGTCTAGCAGTACCTATAGCCACCCAGAGGGTTACCAATTTGTATTTTGAAGCATTTGGCACAAAAATATGAAAAAAAAAATTACGAGAAATGTCTAAAAATGACAACATATTATTATTACTATTGTATTATTATTATTGTTGTTATAATTATTCTTATTCTTAGTACATATGTATTATTATAATTATTATTATTAATACATATGTATTATAATAATTATCATTATTATTAGTATTATTATTATTATTTAGGGAACTGGAGCACAGATCCAATTCCCTAGATCAAGAACCCATTACCACATACTAATAATTATTATTAGTTATAATAATTATTATAATAAAAATAATAATAACAGTAAGGAGAAACTTCGAAAGGCTGCCAGTAGTTGGCGCCACCATCAGCAAAACATTGGTAACCACTACTAGTACACTTTTCACCTGTCTAGACTTAGTAGTCTATAAGTATTAGGTTAAGTCTGCCCGAAATGCCTCAGCATGATAGTAGCTTTCTTTGCTCCAATTATATGTACACACACATTGTAACCTTTGCAAAGAAATAAATAAATTATTTATTTATTTATTTATTTAAGGAACCTCCCTTGAGGGGGAAGTTCATATCCTGAAATTTCCTTCATATCCAGAAGCGTTCGTAAGCCAAGGTTCCACTGTATTTTAAAACCATTTCTAACATTACAGTTATCATGGCAGGTACTGATACTTTTGGGTACTCATGAGGACGTTTCTATTTGGTCTTATGACTTTTGGCATTTATCTGTATTATTATGACATCTTTAGGTATAATGATAAACTATATACGTATGAGCTGTTTTTTAGCACTATGGCAGGTTGGAAGGAGGGGCAGCTGCCAGCTTCAGAGACTCCCAAAAGTCTGGAAAATATGGTGAACTTGCCCATCATTACATATATGTTGCCATAAACTCAGAGGCCCTCATCCCATGGGGAAAGAGCACATCCAGATTTGTTAAGGAGTCTGGCAAAAGACTTGTCAGGGCAACTAAGGATCACAGGGCAACTAGTTTTCTGTTCCAGCAGCTCAGTGTTGCAGTTCAGAGGGGTAAAGACTGTTGTAGCTGTATGTAATGTATCCCTCAAACCTCATGTATTGTATCTATACCACTTAGGTACAAGGCTGACAATAGGAAGGTTTCACAGACTGCACTGTGACAGGTTTGCATCAACCAACTGTGATCCTACTGTCCCTTCCCACAGCCCCATAAGCTTTCATAGTACATCTGTTCTCATACCCCTCAAGGCTATTTAATTTGTGAACTCGACAATCAGGGACTGAATAGCCTGGTCACACAGTGTATGAAAACTAATACTAATGAATATAACAGATTGTTATAGATGAAAGTAAATTAATCATGGAATATGGTTTATGTTTAATATTAAAAATTAATTTAGGGAATGAGTGATGGTGACTTTCTTTCAACAAACAAACCGGCTGCATCCCACTGAGGCAGGATGGCCCAAAAAGAAAGAAAAAAGTTTCTCTTTTTAACTTTAGTGATGTTTACAGGAGAAAGGGTTACTAGCTCCTTGTTTCCAGCATGTTAGTCGCCTGTAATGACACTCATGGCTTAGGGAGGAAGAATTCTGTTCCACCTCCCCATGGTGAATGTACATACGTATATATTTCTTCCTTGGGTCACTCAGCCTGGGTGGGTGGAAATGGCCATTATTAAAAAAAAATTAGTATAAATATAAACAGTTTGGAGAGATATATTGTGTATTTTTATACGTATATACTTCTAAACTGTTGTATTCTGGGCACCTCTGCAAAAACAGTGATTATGTGTGAGTGAGGTGAAAGTGTTGAATGATGATGAAAGTATTTTCTTTTTGGGGATTTTCTTTCTCTTTGGGTCACCCTGCCTCGGTGGGAGATGGCCGACTTGTTGAAAAAAAAAAAAATAAACAGTTTGTAATTACAAGAGCACAGATATTCTGAAATTATTTGCATTATTCACATTGTGCAAAATTTTCACTATTGGTTAATGGTTTAATTATATTTATTTACATATTATTCAATCAGTAGTTTTGTTCATGCATATCAATTTGTGTTACTCATTACAAATTGTGCAGTACACAAATAATATATTTTCAGTATTTTTTTTTACATCTGTCTCATACTTCCATTACATCACATTTCTCACTGTTCTTTTCTTTGGCTCTTGATTCCTAGTTGTGTGTAACACTGCTCATCTCATTTCAGTATTTGAAGAAGCCTGCCACTTACATCTGTTAGCTTTGATTTTTACTATCATTTCTATAGGAGTATGGTGGCCTGGATTTTTGCAGTTTGTGGTGTTATTTCAATCCTGTCATAAGAGGATGGGGAACTCCTTGTCTTATATTCAGAATTAAGGTCTTTGTTTATTTAGGAGGATGACGGCTTGGAGCTGGGCAGTGCAGGTGTGCGAGGCATGGGCCCACCAGTTCCTATCATCACCCATCACTCCATCATGTATGCACCAAAGTGCCTCGTCCTCATTTCCACCCTGGACTACTTTGAAACATTTAGAGTGAGTTAACCCTATCACTATCCAGACTCCTGAAATTAATATTGCACCTTGTCCACTTTTTAAAAAAAAATTCTTTTGAAATGGTAGAGAATCTAGTGAATGTTGAATGATATATACAGCCTCTCCTCACTTAGCGATGTACTCCTTTACCGACTCCTCGGACTTACGACAGGCTCTCGAACCAGTATTCATACCTAAATAATGTATTAGAGCCGATTTTCTCTATTCTGTTTATTTCACTATACAGTACACTACTGTATAAACATTTAAAAATATACCAGAAATGTTATAAATGGTGCCTCAGTGGGAAAGGGCCGACGTGTTAAAAAAAAAAATAACTCAAAGTAGAATATTTGTAGGCAGAGAAGGTCATTTTTATTGTAGTTTGTCCAGTAGAAAGGTTGGTAAGTTTTGTATTTATACAAATGATAAGCACTTATTTTACACAGAATAATCTATTGCTTTTATTTTCAGTATCATAATATTGATAGCCAGTAGTTGTTATAAGACACAAGAACACACAAAAACAAATCAAATTTTTGACAACACTTCCTTTTATTTCTTTTTAATGGATCTCTGCATTTCTTGTTAACTTTGAAAGATTGAATGGAATCTCAAAAATAGTATAGTTAGACACAAACATGAATGTAGTAGAAATGATAGAAAACTTATTTTTTGCAGAACTTTTATTTATTATGTACAGTGCATTTACTTTATATATACATTTCCTGTATATGTATACATATATATATACATGTATATACATATATATATATATATATATACATGTCCTGTCTAAGGGCAATGTGTGGTGTAAATATTATGCAGAAAATTCGGAGTGTGGAAATTAGGAGAAGGTGTGGAGTTAATAAAAGCATTAGTCAGAGGGCAGAAGAGGGGTTGTTGAGGTGGTTTGGTCATTTAGAGAGAATGGATCAAAGTAGAATGACATGGAAAGCATATAAATCTATAGGGGAAGGAAAGAGGGGTAGGGGTCGTCCTCGAAAGGGTTGGAAAGAGGGGGTAAAGGAGGTTTTGTGGGTGAGGGGCTTGGACTTCCAGCAAGCGTGCATGAGCGTGTTAGATAGGAGTGAATGGAGACGAATGATACTTGGGATCTGATGATCTGTTGGAGTGTGAGCAGGGTAATATTTAGTGAAGGGATTCAGGGAAACCGGTTATTTTCATATAGTCGGACTTGAGTCCTGGAAATGGGAAGTACAATGCCTGCACTTTAAAGGAGGGGTTTGGGATATTGGCAGTTTGGAGGGATATGTTGTGTATCTCTATACGTATATGCTTCTAAACTGTTGTATTCTGAGCACCTCTGCAAAAGCAGTGATAATGTGTGAGTGTGGTGAAAGTGTTGAATGATGATGAAAGTATTTTCTTTTTGGGGATTTTCTTTCTTTTTTTTTTGGGTCACCCTGCCTCGGTGGGAGACGGCCGACTTGTTGAAAAAAAAAAAAAAAAAAATACATTTCCATTGAGAATTGAGCATAACACAAATAATCAAGGTCTTAACATTTAGCATGAAGAATATAATGCAGTATTTTGGAAAGGCATTGTTTTTTTTTATTTTAATAGTTGTTTCATGAACATCAGTGTGTCATATTTTTTTATATTGACAGAATTGTATGGGGATTGTGTATACTGTGTACATGGAAGGATTGGGGGTGAGCATGGAGACACTTATTGGCAATATGGTAGGATATGTTCAAGTGCCCCCTCCTGGAGGACCGCAGGTTAGTTTTTGTGCTGCTATTTAGTTTTTTAATACTGTATATACACTGTGCACTGACAGTTAAGAAAATGTTTATATTTTATCTTATTTGTTGGAGGGCTGATCTTGATTTGCTTTGGCACCAAGTTTCATTGATCATTTGTATTAATTTTTTTATGATTAGTATTGCATTCATGAATTTAACATCTGTGTGATCACTAACATTTTCACTAGAACCCGCATTATAATTGCTTGCTGGTCAGTCGGAAATTATTATATAAACTACACAGATGAGATGAGTTCAAAAGGTTGATACATGGCCAGCTGTGCTCAAGTAAATACCCCATCCTTGCTTCTAATTAGTCAAAGAGGGAATGCATTATATCACACATTTTTGGTGTATCTACTACAGTACAATAAAAAGATGTACTAATGTGTGCTTCTTCTCAGGTTCGGTTCAGCATTGGTGCTGGTGACAGACAAGCTCTCCAGCCTCCAGCCTCTCCAACTCTCCCAGTCACTAACACCACTGTCCTGAGTCTCTTCAGTCAGTTAGGTATTCAATTTAGAAATAGAAATACTGCACTGTAAAAATAATTTACAAAAATATATTACGATTATCCACTTATTTAACCATGACAGTATCTTATGCAGATCATCTTGTAGTCTTCTCTCTTGTCTTCTCTTATAGTAGCCTTCTGTCTACTTGTATCCTCTTGTTCTTCTCTTTTAGCCTGTTCTCTTCCTGCAGTAGTCTGCTGCCTTCTTATAACCTCTTACTCTTCTTTTGTGAATTGTTGTTGTCTTGTTGGAAGCCAGCTGTCCTCTTGTGGCCAGGGTTGTTACAAATTCCGTTTATTTTTTTAATCCCAGTCTACCTAGACTCTTCAGAATTTTTTTTTCATTAATTTTTCGCGTTTTTATTTTATTTTTACTTAATATAATGCTTTTACAGTGACCTAAAAGATGCACATATGCTACATAATTACAAAGAAATCATTGATAAAAGATATAACCAGTGTGTGACATCTAACCTACTGGCACATAAAGCACATTCTAAATGCAATGGAAGGGAGCAAGAGCAAGAGCAAGCTGCTGCTGAATTGCTGACAGGATCATTCAAGATATTTTACTGCCTCTTGCTTCCTTTCTCTATTGGTGATAAGTATATTTACCTTCGGTCAATGCTGATGCCAGAAATAACTGAAGCTTTCCCCAGCCTAGTGGTGGAAACTCGTGAGTAAAAGAAAAATGCAACACTGGTTTTAATTGAATTTTGTTTTTTTGTGCTTGAACTAGGTAGCTTTCCAGCAAGCTCTGCTTCGGTTGAGAGGATCTTCTTTACTTTTGGGCAAATTTATGCTAAATTAAGAAATAGACTAGGTAATAAAGGAGCTGGAAAACTCGTAAGGTATAATAAGATGCTTTAGGGTAAAGCTGAGGACTGGTGAACACTACAAAACATACACACAGCAAACTTGGCTCATCAATTTTGTAGCATACCATTGTTAATAGTCATTAAAATTTAAGGATATACTTCTTATTTCAACAAACCAGCCGTATCCCACTGAGGCAGGGTGGCCCAAAAAGAAAAACGAAAGTTTCTTTTTTTAAATTTAGTACTTTATACAGAAGAGGTTACTAGTCCCTTGCTCCAGGCATTTCAATCGCCTCTTACAATATCCATGGCTTAAGGAGGAAGAATTAGGTTAGGTTAGGTAGTAGGTTGGTAGACAGCAACCGCCCAAGGAGGTACTACCGTCCTGCCAAGTGAGTGTAAAATGAAAGCCTGTAATTGTTTTACATGATGGTAGGATTGCTGGTGTCTTTTTTTCTGTCTCATAAACATGCAAGATTTCAGGTACGTCTTGCTACTTCTACTTACACTTAGGTCACGCTACACATACATGTACAAGCATATATATACACACCCCTCTGAATTTTCTTTCTAGTTCTTGTCCTTGTTTGTTTCCTCTTACCTCCATGGGGAAGTGGAACAGAATTCTTCCTCTGTAAGCCATGCATGTTGTAAGAGGCGACTAAAATGCCAGGAGCAAGGGGCTAGTAACCCCTTCTCCTGTATATATTAATAAATGTAAAAGGAGAAACTTTCGTTTTTCCTTTTGGGCCACCCCGCCTCGGTGGGATAGGGCAGGTGTGTTGAAAGAAAGAAAGAAATGCAAGGTTTCAGGTATGTCTTGCTACTTCTACTTACATTTAGATCACACTACACATACATGTAAAAGCATATATATATATATACACACCCCTCTGGGGTGTGTATATATATGCTTTTCTAGTTCTTGTTCTTGTTTATTTCCTCTTATCTCCATGGGGAAGTGGAGCAGAATTCTTCCTCCATAAGGATGTACTTGTGGGTTGGAAATTTGTAATGCATCTATTGCAAACTCGTTTAATTAAATGCTATATTTTACTGTGCTGATACTTTTTCACATTTATAAGTGCATTTACATTTTATTCTCTGCCTTAAAATACAGTAGAACCCCCATATCCACTGATTCAGCATTCATGGTTTCAGTTATCCACAGTTTACTGTGGCCAAAAATACCTATTAATTTTGCATAACAATGGACCCAAAGCACAAAAATAGAAAAGCTGGCAGTTCTTCAAAGCCTAAGAGAAGCCGTGAAGTGCTTTCCATCAGTGAAAAAGTGATAATTCTCCACTTAAACTTTATAATAGGTATGTATAGGACTGATATGTAGGATTTATTACTATCCACAGTTTCAGCATCCATGGCAGGTCCTTGAAACATTTCCCCCACAGATGGAGGGTCTTACTGTATTGTAACATGTTTACATTGAGTAAAATTCAGTATCTGTACCATTATCTAATTTCTCTTATTGATTGACATACATCTGAATAAGTTTACTGAGTATACCAGGTAAAGTGTATGGTAGGTTTTTTATTGAAAGAATTGGAGGTAAGACAGAGAGCAGGATTGCAAATCAACAAGGAGGCTTTAGAAAGGGTAAGGGATGTGTAGATCAAATGTTTACAATGAAGCATATAAGCGAACAATATTTAGATAAAGGTAGGGATGTTTTTATTGCATTTATGGATTTAGAAAAGGCATATGAGAGGGAAGCAATGTGGCAGATGTTGCATGTGTATGGAATAGGTATATAGTTACTAAATGTTGTAAAGAGTTTTTATGAAGATTGTGAGGCTCAGGTTAGGGTGTGTAGGTGAGGGGGAGATTACTCGCCAGTAAAAGTAGGCCTTAGACAGGGGTGTGCAATGTCACCATGGTTGTTGAACATATTTATAGATGGAGTTGTAAAAGAAGTAAATGCTAGGGTGTTGGGGAGAGGGATGGAATTAAATTATGGGGAATCAAATACAAAATGGGAGTTGTCATGGTTACTTTTTGCTGATGAAATTGTGCTTTTGGAAGATTCTAAAGAGAAGTTGCAAAGGTTAGTGAATGAGTTTGGGAAGGTGTGTAAAGAAAGAAAGTTGAAAGGGAACATAGATAAGAGTAAGGTGATGAGGCTATCAAATGAGTTAGGTAAAAAAAAATTGGGTATCACATTGGAGGGATGGAGTATGGAAGAAGTGAATGTGTTCAGATATTTGGGAACAGATTTGTCAGCAGATGGGTTTATAAAAGACGAGATTAACTATAGAATTGATGAAGGCAAAAAAAGTGAGTCGTACATTGAGGTGTTTGGAGACAAAAAACATTATCCATGGTGGCAAAGAAGGGAATGTACAAGAGAATAATGGTACCAACACTGTTATATGGATGTGAAGCATGGGTTGTGAATCCTGCAGCGAGGAGGAGGCTGGAGGCAGTGGAGATGTCATGTCTAAGGTGATTGTGTGGTGTAAATATTACGCAGAGAATTCATAGTGTCTAAATTAGGAGGAGTGGAGTTACAAAAAAGTATTATTCAGAGGGCTGAAGAGGGATTATTGAGGTGGTTTGGTCATTTAGAGAGGATGGAGCAAAATAGAATGACTTGGAGAGTGTATAAATCTGTAGTGCAGGGGAGGAGGGGTAGGGGTCATCCTAGGAAAGGATGGAGGGAGGGGGTAAAAGAGGTTTTGTATGCAAGAGGCCTGGACATACAGCAGGCATGTGTGAACATGTTAGATAGGAGTGAATGGAGACAAATGTTTTTTGGGACCTGATGAGCTGTTGGAGTGTGAGCAGGGTAATATTTTGTGAAAGGATTCATGGAAACCAGTTAGCTGGACTTGAGTCCTAGAGGTGGGAAGTACAATGCCTGCACTTTAAAGACGGGGTTTGTGGTATTGGCTGTTTGGAGTGACATCTAAACTATCAAATCTTGCCACCTCTGCAAAGACAGTGTTTGTGTGAGTGATGGTGAAAGTGTTGAATGATGTTCGTAAAGTGTTTTTTCTTTTTTGGGTCATCCCGCTTTGGTAGGAGACGGCCAGCTTGTATAAAAAAAAAAAAAAATACAGTAACACTAACAGTACAGTACCTTTTCTTAAAATACATTTCTGACCAACCTATGAAGAGCATAAATCAAAGATAGAGCTAAATTTGAGAGGGTATGTAAGAGAAAGAAATTAAAAATGAACATTGGACAGAGCAAAGTGATAAGGATAACAAAAAATTTAGGTAATGAAAGATTGGATATCAGATTGGAGGAGTATGGAGGAAGTGAATGCATTCAGACCCAGTGGAACCTCCACTCACGAGTTTAATCCGTTCCGTGACCTTGCTCGCATCTGGATTTGCTTATTTGCAGAGTTAATTTTCCTCGTTTAAATTAATTGAAATGCAATCGGTCCGTTCCAGTGAAATTTCAGGCACGAGAAAATACTTCAGTAATTTCCCTAATATCATCTATACGGCTTATTTATCTATCACAGTTCATCTAATATGACATAATAAACAATATAGAAACCTGATATATACTTTAAAATAAATAAAATGTCATTCATGTAGTGGTATCGTCGGCAGATGAGAGTTTGTCTGGAGACTGGACAAAATACTCCTTAAATAATTTCGCTAATGTCATCTATACGGCTTATATATCTTTCAGAATTCTTCTAATATGACTTAAACAATATAAATAACATAGAAACCTGATATGTACTCTAGAATGAATAAAATGTCATTATTTAACAGGTGGAGGTGACCACAACCACTCCCGCTTTGCTGTGGTAAACACTGCCATCTAGTGACAACCTTTTGAAGCCGTCTATTATTATTATTATTATATAGTACATTATTATACATGTATTATTATTATACATACTGTATTATTATGTACATACTATAGTATTATTATTATTATTATTATATTATACTATTATTATTTTACGTATTAGTACATCTTTATTATTAGTATAAATAATTTGTAATTTTTATTCACACAAAAAATAGAAGATTTACTGTTATGCAGACTACTGCATTATTGTAATAATTGTATAAATAATGTCAGCCCGTTCATGACTGCATATTGGAATGGACAGTGACATCATTTGTTTACTCTTGAACATCACCAAAGAACCGAACATTTCTGCTACTTTGAGCTCAATTTCAAGGTACTTTTC